TCATGAAACATTTCATTATATACAGTAAATAATATGAAGTGGAACAAATTTACATGTTCTGTTCAGACTTTATAGAGTGCATATTTATTTTAAAAGAAAGAGGTAGCAGTTATAATGGGAATTCAAAATTCAATTGGTTTCCTCTGGATACCAGAAAACCCCAGAGACTTAGAATATTTTTGTTACTTCTGGTATCAAATCTAAATGTTCACTTGCCCAGCCCGCTTCTCCTTTCTTGGAAGAAGTAAAAGTTATTTTGGAAATCTGATTTCCTGAATAAATAGAGTCAGGAATCCCAGCAATTCTATTAAAGGATATGTTTGCACATGTAAAGAATGTTCTGTTTACCTAAGGTTTATTTAGTTCAGGAACATCATAAGCCCTGGTACAAGTCTAGCCTTCCTGAAACTGTCTCCCTGGATGTACACCTCCTGCCTAGCTTCCCCCCTTTTAAAATGGAAGTTAAACACTCTAATTTGGTAAAGGTGTTAGGTCCTAAGAAATTATTACTTTGCTGGTATTCCCATATTTGATATTTAGAATTTTAGATTCCAGTCATCCTAAAGAGCATATTTTTCCTACAAAAACTGTTTCAGGAGGACTTTTGTTTTATACTGATGTTATGCTCACTCAGAGATGTTTAACCTTTCTTAATCTCAAATTGACCTTTTCAGTTAACATGAAGCATTTGTTCATGCTTTAGTGCTATTGTGGCATCATCTTAACCTTTCCTTTGCTGAATAGTTTTGTACTCCATTGCACCCTCAATAATTTCAGTTATGTTGCCCCTAAAAAGGCAGGCTGAGGTTTGTACTAAGTTACTAATTCTTTGTGCCAACCTTCCATCAGCCTCTCCCTCCTGGCAGAGTGTGCAGAAGAAAAACCTAATACTAAAATATCTAGGGAAAATGTCTTTATGGGAATGAAAGTAGATGCAGAGATGGAAAATAAATATTTTTAAAGCCAGTATTATCTGTTATATGATTATTTAAAAAGAGAAAAGGGGAAAGAAGGGAAGGGTTATCCCCTTTATGCTTTCACTTCTTGCCTCAGGAGAAGGGGTTTACGTCTAAAGTGCTGTTTTGGTACCACTTCCCCTATCTTACAAATTCCTGCAACACCCAGCACCAAAACTTTCAATATTTTTCTAGATTTGTCTTAAGAACAAAGGCTAAAAGGAGAGTGCCTGAGCCCACCACTGTAATATTTTGTTGTTTTAAGTAAAGGAGGGATTATTAAATAGTAGTTAGCTATATTTAATATTATGAATAGAGAGATCAGAAATTTAACCTTGATTCCAGTTTTTTTAAACTTTATGTGATTTTCCAAGTATTTTAAGTTTCATTTTTATATTTATTGAAGTATTGACATTCATACAATAAATGCACCAATATTAGGCATACAATTCCATGAATAAATATACACTCATCTAACCACCACCCAGATCACATATAGAACACTTCCAGTACTCTAGAAGGCTTCCTTGAGCCTCCTTCCAGTCCATTCCTCCTTGCCAGAGATAACCACTATTTTGACTTCTATTATATCATTATGTATTTTGCCTATTCTTGATCTCATATAAATGGAATCATATGTTACATGCAGTCAGTCTTTTTTGTCTGCCTTATTTTATTCATCATTTTGTCTTTGAGATTTATCCATATTTTTGGGTGAAATAATAGCTCATCTTCATTGCTTGTATCTTGTTGCTTGAATATATTACAGTTTATCCATTCTACTGATGGACGTTTGGGTTATTTCCTGCTTTTGGCAGTTATTAAGAGTGCTGTGTGACATTCTTACACATGTCTTTTAGCACACAATTCTGTTGAGTATATATACCTAGGAATGGAATCGCTGGGTCAGAATAGACATATGTTTAAGTTCAACATATATCGCCATTTTTACAAAGTACCAATGTACAATCCCACTAGCAATTACGGGAGTTCCATTTGTTCCATATTCTTGCCAACACTTGGCGTAGCCCTTCCAACTTCTTTTTTTTTTTTTT